TTTTCCCATGCACACAGCAATCTCTGCTTCTGCCAAGGTTGATGGACATTTTTCTGTTGGTAACAACAGAGACTGAACCAGAGTCCCACAGGTAGGCTTACCATCCTTCCTGGAGACATTCCTCGTCCCCAGTTACAGAGAGCTGAGCAGCAGATTTCTGCAAGGTAAAGATCAAAAGGCAGTGTTTGCCCCATAGCACCCCACATATCCCTAGTCCCCAGTTACAGAGAGCTGAGCAGATTTCTGCAAGGTAAAGATCAAAAGGCAGTGTTTGCCCCATAGCACCCCACATATTTTGAGTGGTCATAGGAAATTATTTATTTCATGTGTTTCACTATTAGGCTTGAGGAGATTGCTCCGCCAGCCTGATCCTGTGACTGAGGCAGTGGGGCACTCAGGAAGCAAGGGAAAAGGGCCCTGCTGGCTTTCATGAGAGTCTGGGGCATGTGTTGTTCATAGTAAGCCAAGAACTGAACTTGTGGGGGGGAAATTGTGCTGAGCCATCAGAGTAAACACTCCTAGGGAGCCCTGACTCCATAAGGAATGTAATTGTCATCATCTAAAGGATTCAGAATAAACCTGTGCAAACCAATACTTTTCAAAGACTAATACTTTGGCCAGATGACAGTAGTTGGCGACAATGACAGCAAAGAGCAAAATTAACAGAAAAGGCCACCTCTGTGCCAGATTTCAAGCTCCTGCTCCAAGTGCTGTTTCCAAAAGGGCACCAAAATTTTGTCACCCTGAGTTAAAAAGCGCAATTTCCCCAGCCTCAGGGACTGAATTGCTGAGATTTAAGACATTGGCTCCTGAGGCAGACAGATAACACAGAAATGTCAAAATTTGAAAGTTAAAATCTGTTGAAATTCCAAGTGTCTGAGAGCAGCCAGATTGCACTGTGGAGTGCTGTAAAATGTAATCAATAAAAGATTGCTAACTCCTGTGATGCAGGCTCAGATTTAAGACCCCTTGGTGTGCACCTGTTTTTTTGTAACTATAAGAAAGATAATCTTGGGATTCATATGACAGACCCTGAACACCAGACACCTATTTACTTCTGCTCCATGAAAACAAAGGAAAAGGCCCTTCTGAGTAGGTCCTTACACCATTGGTGTAAGGTGGTCATTCCTCAGGAGATGTTTACCCTGCCAGGTGCCCCTAAAAAGACTGTGTACCTACTTCTGCTCAGGATATCCTGGCAGTGTTATATGGGACAGCTATGAGTTCAGAGCAGCAAAAAGATATTAGTGAAGGGAATAAGGCAAAAGTAGCAAGGGCATTAGTCCTGTTAATGTGTGTGGGAGACAAAAGAAAGGAGGCAGGGAAAAGCAAGGCTTCAGAGAGGGGAAGATTGGGGATAGACAAGGCTGGTATTGCTGAGAGCCCTAAAAGTTTTCCTAGCTTCAGTAGTCACAAGCAGAGGAAGGTCACCCTACAGTCAAGAATGTGCTTCCTGCAGAGAAAGAAAGTGTTAAATTGGCTTATCCTATTATTGAGGGACAGACAAAGTGTCTGTTTTCTGCTATCAGAAGCATTGGGATGCATTTACAGCTGACAAGGCCCAGGGTCTGCAAGGCTGTAAATAGCAGCATCTATATTTAATCAAAGATGATGAAGGATTCAGTGAATTTCTGTCCTGTAAGCTCAACATCAGCCATGTAACAAAGACGAGTAATGTGATGGCAAAGAATGTGACTATGAGAGTTTTGAAATGCAGAGAGACAGACAACTACTACAGATTCCTGGCACGTGGCTGCTGGCTGGTACTCTTTTAATTCTTAAACAGGTTTCAGATCATTCAGGTGGCCAACATGTACTGCTTGATATGATGGCTCCAGAAAGGGTCAGAGGGCCAATGCAAGCTGTCCCATGAGGGGACATCCTCTCCTTGAAATGCCCATGACAGTATAATATGTATCTAATAGCTGGTGGAATAATGAATCATTTGCACTTTGAGACAAAGATTTCAATTTTTGGGGTTATTGAAAAACAAACCTGTTTGGGTTTCCTTTTAAAGCATTTAATCTAAACCCACCTTGTGGCTTTGACACCAGGTTCAATTTTGATCAAACTCCAGAGTCCTTTCAGAAGCTCCAGCTCTGAAGACCTGGAATGAAAGGCATTTTCCCTTCCCACCCTCTCCATTCTGCTGGGCTTCAGGAGGTCAGGAGGTGAGTTTTTATTGTTAGTCGCTTGAAAATAAAATCATTCTGTGCTGGTATCTTTGGATAGACACTGTAATTTATGGATTTCAACAAAAGCAAGAACATTCCCTGGAAGTGGGGTAGTGCTGTCCCAGGAAGAGAGCAGGTTTGCATAAGGACACAAGCAGGGAGGAGGTGTCACAGGAGACCTTTTTGGAAGAGCCAAACTCTCCTGGATGGTTAAAAGTCCAGCCGAATTAATTCACTGACCATAATCCATTAATTCACTGACATTCAGTGAATTAATTCGGATGGACTTTTATTTTGAATTAAGCCCTTATTTATACCAAGTCTTTTGTGTTAATCTCCCTGAGATGCACAGACATTGGCTCATTTGATGGTTTCTGAGCTAGAAGTGATAGTGTTTTCTCATACCAAAGCCAAATCAAACTACACAGGGGCGAAATATGAGCAGAGCAAGAAAATAGAAGTAGGCCCTTAGGTGAGACCCATTGTCCAGGCTAAAGGGAGATGTGAGGGAACAGAGAAAAGATATTTTACAATCAGTCAGCAAAGTCAGGTCAGAGCACAGAGTGGGAAAAGGACATAGAACTTGATCAAAAAGCACAAGGAACCAGATGTTTGGCTGCTTTGAATCACAGCTTTTTTTGACCCAAGGTCTAGTGTGTACCTGCACGGAATTGCAGAGCAGGCATCACCCTCTTTGCATGCTCTCTTTTTGACTGTGATCAAAACACATGGTAAACACATGAGGGGAAAAAAAAGAAAAGAGAAACCTTTAAAAGTAAACAACCCCCTCAAAACCTGAGCCCTCATTTCTAGCCATCCCCACAAAACAACAGCAACAACCATAAAAGGAAAGCTTTCTAGCTCTTACTCTCTTTATTTTACCAAAAAAGTTAGTGTGAAAATGGAAATCAGGGCCATAAGCCAGGGGGAGAAATTGTTCAGGTCACAAGGGGTTCTAGGGAAGCTTAAAGGTTGAAGCTGTCATATGGAAAATGCAAGTGGAATGTCATGGAGAGCTGTGAGACTGCAGGAGTCCCCCCAGGGGCCTGTAAACCCTGTCACTTGAATCACTTGATATCAGCTGAAGAAGGTTAGGATGAAACTGTGACTACATTTCTATACTCATGTCTTGTGTGCCCAGCTTCCTTGGATGACTTCTCCTTCAAGCAACTCTCTGTCAGGTTTAAGACATCGAAGCAAACCTGTGTTCTGAAGAACTGCAGAGTTGAGGATGTCCCAAGGACTGGTGTGTCCAACCTGGCATTATGTGGAGATATCAAAGTATGAAACAATGTAAAAGTAGCATCCTAAGCTTCTTACCTCCATATCCTGACCAAGGAAAATGGTCATGTTGTAATCATCCCAGAATCCTCCTCTAGGCTAAAGAAATATTCATGCAGGAAAAGCTGTCTCAGTGCAGGATCTGGCCTGGGTCCCTGGGATATTGTGCAGTGTTGTGTCCCCTTAGCTTTAGATGGTTATGATGCCTATATTCCAGATAATCATTGAGTAAGGACAATCCACATTCCAGAAACTGCACTAATGAGTGACCTGCACCTAATTCAGAAACTTTAGTGTGATCACTTTTTCTTCTTTTCAGTAATTTGAGTGTGTGTGTGTGGCTACAACGCAGTCATCTGAAGTTGCATGAGGTGAACACCACAAGTAATTTGTGTTGATTTTAATCAGTTCAGTGTTTAAGCTCTTTGATGGAGCTGAAGTTTAGCCCTGTATCTGACCTGAGTGTCCTTTAGGTGACTGATGACAGGGATGAAGATGACAGAGAATTCAGATCCAAGCAGGCATGAGGAAAGGTCTTGTGGAAGACCTGTAAGAGTACAAATACAGTATATACAGTGCAGACATTAGTGGAAGCAGGATTGGACCCTGAATAAGCAGGGGAGAGAAAAGCACCATATGTTGGAAGGGGATGAGTATTATGTAAGTAACAGGGATAGAGACATTTTGAAAATAGGCAGACCGATCTCATTATTTATCTACAATTAAACTAAACTGTGGGGTCATATCATCCTATTAGACCTAGCAGATTAAACTCAGGCTGTCTCTTTTTGTTATTGTTTCTGGGGGAGTTTTGGAGCTTTCTTAATTTAGGTCAAAAAATGAGAGGCTTCCTCATAAGCATTTTAATTAACCAGCTGAAGAATTCTCTTGCCCCCAGAGACTTGCAGTACCAAATCCAGACCTCAGACTATAATATTTCAGTCAGATTGTTTGTTCCCCTTTATTCAAGTCAAAAACACAGACAGCAAATCAACCCCCCTCCCCCGCATTTAACTACTTGGAAAAAAAAAGTATCTTGAAAGTTTGATTTTTGACCTAAACATGTTCTTTGCAGCAGCCCAGTACATGAAGACCAGAATGTATGACAAACGTGACCAAAACCTGCAGAGAAAAGCAGTTTTGGCTGGACCTTAGGCCTATGTACACTTTATCCCAGTCATCTTTCTGCCCCAAGCCATCGGTGCTTGGGGTCATCCAGTGTCTCATGGCTGAGTAAAATCCCAGTCCTTTCACAGGGCTGCTTGGTGCACTGTCCCTCTAGGGAGAGGCTCTTGGTTGAAGGGTTGGGTTTCCACGGAGCATGCTGCTCCTCAGGGAGATGAGGAGCTCCATTCTGGTCCTCGGTGCCTCTTGCACACATCCATTGGGCTGTGGCAAGTCCTGGCAGCATCCTCCAGGATGGTGACCTGGCACCAGGGCCACCCATCATCCCAGCAGGTTTGTTCGAGGAGAGGAGCCGCACACCTCCAGGGAGAACATGAGGAGAAGGGCATCCCCAAAGCCCCCACTGCCCCGTGTCCTCCTCTATGAGGAGCTGGCACAGATACTGCTCCTTTCCAGCTTGTGGGGTAGCAGCGCGCCGTAAGGGGGCAGGACATTGAAGAGCAAGTATGGTTTTGGGAAGGGCAGCAGCTCCACGTGGTGGGGAGCGAAGGAGAGCGTGCTGGGCAGCCAGGCAGTTGTCAGCTGTCCTTGCAGTGGTGAGTAGTATCCCACGGCAGGGTAGGACACAGAGAGCTTTCTTGGCATCAAGCTAGGAGCCTTTCAAGAAGAAAAGCATAGTCTTAGGTGAATCAATATGGACTTTACTTAAATGAAATTTACAATCAACCTTATTTGTTTCCCTGGTGATCAGTAATTAAGAAGAAAAGTTTAGAAAAACAGACTTTCTAAAACCCAGTAGTGTTTTGTCACCCAGGACTCAAAGCAAAACACTCTTTCTTTTAGCTATGAAAAAACCTGTCAGGGAAAGAGCCTGTATGACAGCCTAAAAAATAACAGTCCTGGACTGCTAAAGCACAGGTCAAGGTACTGGTCAGCCTAGCCAAGGCTGAATGCTGTAAAAAGATTCTGTCTGTAAAGGAACATGGGTTTGTGGCTGCAAATGTCTTAGGTCCTCCTCTTCAGGAAATTTCTGATTATAAAGACATTCTGAATCAAAGTATGATTTACAGGCAAGTGATTTAGGAGCAAAATGGGGAAGGACCACCCTACAATAGACACCTCACAGAATATTTATGAAACAGGTTTAAGTCTATAAAGAAATGTATTATTTGATCGGTAGATTGATGGTGGGAATTTTTGTCATCACATTACCAGTTTTGTCTTTTGCAGTGCTCCTTCTCTGGGATAGTCCCATGGCATTATTGGTGAAGTAATTACCTGGCTTTCCCTCAGTGGCTTTGACACAAAAGTGTCCAATACTCACTGTGATATCTGACTTGGGAGCAGGAACAAAATCAACTTCTGTCAGATACTGAAGGCCACCAAAATTGCTGAACTTTTCATGTTTCCTCCACTTTGCTCGCTGATTCTGGAACCAGATCTGGATAAAGGCAAGAAAGAAAAGGTACAGAAATTAGCAGAATATGAGGGAGGAACTTCTCAAAGCCAATTACTTTCCCTAAACTCTGAGCACCACAAAACACTGGCTCCAGCTCAGCAAAACCAGGGGCTGGATCTGAAGTAAACCACTGGGTTTGACAGAGCACTTTTCACACTTTGCATAGCATATGGGATCTCTGGACCATGATACCTTGTTTTCTATTGTAGCTCACAGAAGAAATAGGATCACCCTGTTCAAGGAAAGACAATATTGCAGGTTTTCCAGGGCTCTTTGGGGAGAGCAGATCCTTCTGTGGAGAAAACTCTGCAGTGGTCAATGCACACAGCATTCTGTTTTCCCTAGAAGGTGTGACATCTCATGACAGAGCTCTTCCACCCTGTTTCCAAGTGAACAGACTGGGAAAAGATCTACCTAGATGTTTTGCTGGGCTGCAATAAAAGTGTGTCACCAGTGGAGATGTAGTAACAGGGTTCTACCTACGTTTAGCTGGTAGCATTTGGAAATTCGCATAAGGGACCTAAGTGAAAGACCCAAGGGGATCACTCAGCAATCTGAGTATGCTGTCAGTAGTCTCTTTTGCACTGGAAAGCAGACAACTAATTTTCTCTGGGGAGTTCCTTTCATCTGTCAGCTGATTTGACCAGTCTGCCTTCTGGCAGAGGCATAAATGTATTTATTGTGCAGCTGCAGTTGTGCATCTTGCTGCACTGCTGTCAAAAGTTGAAGCCTCCTTCAACTGTAGTTTGTAGCTTGCTAAGGGACTTGCTGTTTGAATGTAAGCAAGTGGCTCACATGAACACAAGGTTTTGTTTATTGAATTCAGGTGCTACTGGATGTAAATATGTACATATTTTAAGCCAAATCATGAACAGTTCAGTTATTTCTCCATCTCTCACCCAAGAAGTAATGGGAATGTCAGGAGCCCTTTGCTATATTGCTGATAGTTAGCTGCTATATTGCTGATAGTTAGAAGTATCTGGGGTTACTGAGAGGACAGTTTTGTTTATCTGGGTTTGCATGTGTCTAGAAACTGCTTAGTCTGTATGAACTTTTCCATTCCCTTCCTACCATGCAGGAGTTATATGGTGAAACAGAACCATTTAACATTCACAGAGTGATAGAGGGCAAAGGGGGAACTCCAGCCAACATTCACTCTCTGAAGCACTCCTTCTAAAATCTGCACATGGGATAAAGTTCTCACTTCATGGATTGCTTTATTTAACTAAAGGCAAAGATTTTAACACTTCTCAGACCACACTGCTCTTTTTTCCCCAACCAGCTCTCAGCACCCTTGCATCTAAAATGATTTCTCCATACCCAGCACGAGTCCTTTTAATTGTGTTTTAAACCTATTCCTCATGCTCTGTCTACCTTTATCAACCAAATACACAGAACCATAGACTGGTCTCAGTTGGAATGCATCTTTTAAAGAAGATTTAGTTCCAACGCTTCTGCTGTGGGCAGGGGCATATTTCACTAAACCAGGTTGCTCAAAGCCCCATTCAGCCTGACTTTGAACACTTCCCATGATGGGAAACCCACAATTTCTCTCGGCAATCTGTTCCGGTGTCTTGCCAATCTCACCATAAAGAATTTCTCCTCATATACAAAATAAATCTACCTTCTTTCGGTTTCAAACTGTCACTAATAATCTCACCATAAAAAGATGAGTTTGGCAGTGTCTATTTTCATGAACCAGTGCTGATAAGCATAAAATATGTTATATTTTCTTTAACTCTCCATTAACAAAATATGCCGTCCTTTTCACAGTTTTTGCCAAAAATCAATGTTTGTCTGACAGGCCAGTCATTATCTGGTTGTCCTGTTTACCCTTTAAATACTGACACATTAGATTTCTTCAAGGCCCCTGGAATGGAATGTCTCTCATGCTCCAGAACTGATTAAATATCAACACTGATGACCTAAACTACTTCTCAAGCAGCTTTTTCAGAACCACTGGAGGTAAGTTACTTAGATGTGTAGATTTAAAAATACCTGTCTGTACCAGCTGTTCAACATTATCCTTATAGAAAGTGCTACCTGACATATTTCCAAGGATAGAGCAGAAATTATGACTGAACATCTTTGCCATTTATGCATTATCCTTGACAGTCCTACTGTTTCTACAAAGCAACAGATCAATATAATTGATCACTTTGGGGTTTTTTTTTTTGGTCTTAATTGACTTTTATTGAGTTTTTGATCCTTAATTTTTCTGACCAAAGATTTGGCCTGTACCCTCCTGCTTTACTTATTTATTTTTTTATAATTTCTTGTTTCTCATGTTTATTCATACAGGATTCTTAATTTTTTCTGTGTAACACACAGTTATACAGTCTCATCTATCCATTTAAGCTGTTTCACATCAATCATAACTTTTGTTCTTGATTGGAGGACACAAGATTTTTCACAGTTATGAAGGGTTTAATTTGGTTCCCAAATGGTTGTTCACTTACTTTTTTGATAGTTAAGTTATATTTCTGAGATGATTTAACTTACACAAAGCTTTCAGCTTTGTGAAAACTATTTCAAAGTAGCAAGAGCACATGCAAATTCTATGTGTGCTGTTTGATTTGTGTGACAAATGCAGTAAATTAAAACTACAACTTGTAACTTGAACCTAAGTTACTGCTAATTTTTAGTTCTGTGGCTGATTTCCCTTTCTCAGCCAGGATGAGGTGAAAGACAGAATTTCCTCTGTCATGTATAACGCTGTCTGAATTGGGAATTTGCCATCTGCACTTCATACATGAGGGACTTTTTACTTCTTTCATTTATATCTCAGGTTGATGTTTCCTGTAATAACTCATTTTTATTTTTCCCCATACATATTATAAACATTTTTTTTAAAACAGACAAATACCTTGTTCTTTCGTGTGATTCATTGTTCTGTGGAGAACACTGGCTGGCAGCTCAGCTTGTCTTTTATGCCATTGGAAATGCATTGTTGGAGTACTGGTATTGCTAATGGGCATATTGTGGCAATGCAGGTCTAATTCTCCCTGTCACCTAACGATGAAGCAATATTATCATGGCTAGTCAATAGTCCCAGGCATGTCATAGTCAATAAACAGCTCTGTGTTGAACTTTGATTGTTACAGAGGGATATATGCAAAGAAGTACACCAATGACTATAGCATTGCTGCAAGAGCAGAAACTGTCTCATGCAAAAATCATCACTACAGTGCTTGGTAGGCAACACCAAATGCCAATACAGAGTGGTGCATATATTTTAATGTAGCAGATTTCCCATGCAGTAAGAATTTGGGGTCAATTTTTAGCTCAGTCAGCTAAATTTTTAGCTCAGTCAACATTATATTACAACTAGGGGAAACTGGATTAGTTTCTGTGCACTGCAATTATAGCCAGGGCATTTATAGCCTGTCATATCGAAATACAGAACACTAAGAAGCACTTCCATTTTGGCAACTATTTTCACATGTTTTGAGACCCTGTGGAAGATGGATGTGGATGACAGTTTGTACTGGATGAGTATTAACCTATAAATGGCTGATAAATGATTAATAAATATTTTCATAAATGGCTGCTCTGTCACTACAGAGTCCAACAGGTTACTCATAACCATCTCTAACTCCTACTTGCTATGCATTTAGTATGCTTAGAGCTCCTGTTAACCCTTTGATTAATTCCATGTGGTTAGTCACAGCTGGGCGAAAAATACCTCTTTTCCTATTTGTAAAAAGAGAACAGTGACAGTGGTTTCATCTGTAGGGTAAGAGAGAGGTCACGTATCTCATTGGCATTGCCACCCAGGCATAAACTATTAAGAATGCACTCCAAATAATGAATGAATTGCAGTGAACATAGCCTTTTGGAGACACACTGTACCTGAACTCTGGCTTCTGGGAGGTTTATCTTTGCTGCCAGTTGATTGCGAATATGGACATCTGGGTAGTGAGTCACTTGGAAAATTTTCTCCAGTTCCTGGAGCTGCTCAGCTGTGAACGTTGTCCGGATTCTTCGTTTCCCTTTCCTCTCAGCTGTGAAAAACAAGGAAAGATGTATTAGTTTTTACAGGAAAAGGCCACAGGACCACAAGAAGATTCAGAGATGCAGCAATTTCTGCATATTGCTCTGCAGTTGGGATGGCATCTACAACTCCTTCTAGACATGTCCTTATCATAGGCTCCTGACATTCTCTAGCAGACAATGTGAATGCACTCCTTTATTATGAAAGGAATGAGTCAAAAGTGTCCATTTGTACTTCTAATTCCATGGATCCACTACATGTCAACAGCTACAAACACCTATGTATTTTAACCACATGAGCCCTGCAATGAGTTTGTCACCAAAGTCCTTCAGTGTTGGACCAGCCATTGACCCCTGACTGACTGCGTTCTCTTCCCATACCATTCCTGCAGCAGCAGGGATAGCCAGCAGTTTATCTCTGCTGTTGCAAAGAAAAGGTATTTTTCTGACTGTACCATTGTGGTGTGGGGACTTTCTAAACAAGCTTAACCTAAAGAACTTAACCTTAAGAATAAGGCCTTAAAGCCCATGCAGAAGTTTAGGTGCTGTGAATTCCAATGCTCCATTGCTTCACCTGTTGCAGTGTGATCACAAAAAGTGATCACTTCCCTAAACACTCCTGTAGTGTTTTGAAAAGGCCCTCCTACACCAGGATACTTTACTTAAATCACAAACTCTGTGTAGCACTTGATGTAAGTTAGAATGAGGTCTCTGTTGCTCTCAAATGATGTTGAAGGTCTTGCAAGGAAGAGGAAGAAGCAGCTGCAGAATGTGGAGTTCAGCCTCATCCCAAAGCTAGAATCTTCTCTGATGCACAAATGGAGTGTCCTCCAGCTGACACAGAGTGACCAGCACAAAAAGCCATACCCCAAATATTATGAATCACAGGGTTTTTTCTACTGAGCTCAGAAAGCTGCATCTGATGGGTGCATAAAAATTCTATTATTATTTTACTGACTGTGATGAGCTTCCTACTCAGTGACCTGAAGTAATTCTTAATGAAACCATGTTGTTAGAGAAAATTGCTATTGTGAATGGCTGCTTTTGGTCTTCCATGGTCTGATGACAACTAACAATTCATACTATGTAACTAGAGGCATACTCTTTCTAATGGGAACAATTAACTAGCTTAGCCCCTCAAAGAGGGGCTTGGTATCTTTTTCCCCTTTTGTTCAGCCATTAGCATCCTTTGGAGGGCTAAAACAGTGAAAAGGTAACTAAACACCTAGGCCAATATAAAGTGAGCTCTGTGGCAACCAGAAAATGACATTTTTCATTCTGTAAGCAAAACCTCATTGTGACTCTGTTGACACAGAAAATAAGGATTAAAATATTCTGTTCATCAGCTTGGTAGGAAGGAGCCCAGACACGATACCATTGTGAATATTTCATCTTTTCTAAACCTTTTGGGGACTTTGAAAGGAAACCAGTCATGCAACAATAACTGAGGAGTGTCATTTATCATGATTGTCAGTACTACCATGTCTCAGAAACAGCCTAATAAAGCTGATGTCCAACACAGTTAAATCTGTATCATTAGACTTTCCACCAGCCTATCAAAGTACTACTCATTAAACTGCAGCACTGGCTTCAGTCTCAAGAGAAAGATGTTATTTCCACTGAATCTTGCTGGCACTATGGGGGCAGAGACTTGAAATGAGAAATATTTGTGTTTGTTTATGCTGAAGGTACAAAGGGCACCTTCTCCTAAGAAGCCCTGATTACATTTACTTGAACCTTCGAAGCTGGCTAAGTGAGCCAGCAGTGAAGCTAAGAAGCCCTGATTACATTTACTTGAACCTTCTCAAAAGATTACTGCAAAGGGGGTTTATTGCTATATGCAAGAAAAGGGAAATATCACTGCTGACAGTAGAAATCTTAAGACACTACATCCCCTGTAGATAAGACAGGGTTCCCAGTTCATAATGGTGTTTCTTGTCTGGAAGATTTTCACCACTCATTTAACATATGCTTACTATATTCCATCCTGCTGGCACCTGAGAAATGTCCAGGACTAGAAAACGTGACTTCAGAGAGACACATGAGCTTCTGGTGTCTCATACCAGCTTCTTGGATATGAAAATGACCCTTATAACTTGGTGATGAGCAAATGAATTTCCCTATTAATCCACTCTAAATCCTCCACATTTTTCCTTCTGGAAAGGTGAACTGTATTATAGACAAGACTCTTATGTAAGGGGAGGATCTGCACAGTGCTGAGAAGTATCAATCCTACTGAAGCCAGATGTTGCAAAGCTGAAACTCATCAGACTGAACAAAACACAGTAACACAAGGTGAGTTATGGGCCAGTAGAGACTGAAGGACTGACTTTGATTTTCACTACATATGAAATTAAATTGCTAACAAAATAGACTCCTGTGAACTAATCAAGACTTCTGCCAGCAGGGAATATAGAAAACTGTATTTTTTTCAACAAGTAATCAGTCATTCTATTTTAATTTTTAAAAAAACTATTAAGAAATGCAAAAAATCTGGGACTTTATGTTAACATTTTCTCTTGCAAGATGAAACTTTCTCTGACTGTAGCTTTGATAGTTCCCTTTGCCTTGGGACCTCAGCTTAGAGATCCCATAGCAAACAACAGCATTCAGAATTACAGTCTAATAAAGAATGTGGGTGGAAGATGTAAGACTAGGAAGTGTTGGAAGTGTAACTTTGGCTTTTCAAATGTGGCTCTAGAGTCTCTGGGGAAATAAGACTCTGTCTGAGTTTCCTGAGCTATTTTTTATGCAAAAGCTGGGGATATTCAACTGTGCTTTTATGCTCTGTGAAAGTCATTTGCAGGTTAGCTGGCTGTTGAAACCAAGCCTGAAAATACGAGGCAGCTAAATGTGTCAGCATTTTCAGATGCTTAGAGATACAGCTGTCTATACATTGCCTTACTGTTGACATTGGAAGGGCCAGATTCCCCATGCTGATAAAGCAGTATAGCTCCTTTAAATTCAGTATCAGGCTTATTTGTCCTTTGCAGATCTGCTTTATTATTAGGTCAGACTGGAAGCAAGTTGGAACACATGAACTTTGTAGAAATAGAGATTCTTCTTGAAGGTGCACGGTGGAAGGATGAGATCAATGACTACAAGTCGCAGCAAGGGAAATTCTGGTTACATAATAGGTTAAAAAAGTTTTCATAATGAGGGTAGTCTGATGTGGCCCAGGAGAGGCTGTGAAGTTTCTGTCCTTGCAGATACTCTGAACTTGACTGGTCAAAAGCCTAAGCCACCTGATTTAAGCTGACCCGGCTTAGATTTGGGTTTGGACAAGATAGCTTCCAGAGGCCTCTCACAACTTACTTTGTTATGTAATCCCTGGCCTCCAAATAATCATATGAAGTAAAGCCCCCCCATCATTCCTTCCCTAAAAATTAAGGGAACTTATGGCATTAAGGCCTTAAACTAAGCACAGCGCAAAGCATCTGATTTGCAACTGCTTATATACACAGTTTTAGCTGAGCATATTGCAGCTTATTTTCACTGTCCAGTATGACACAGTTTCAAGAAATTTGAGGCATGAGCAAACCAATACTGATGGCTACTTCTTGTAAAAGTTTGTTAACATTTGCAGTTTGTAAAGCAAAAGCTGCGCAGCTGCAATAATGCTATACTTGGGGAAAACTTCTTCTGGACTACATTCTGTAGTAGGCAAATAACCTGTGGTACACCTTGCACTGCTGTTTCTTTGCCGCATATCTGAACCAGCTAGAAAAACGCTGCCTCAGGGAGATCTCTGCAACTGCATGTCCCATTTGCATTTACCCCAGTAACAGCTAGGACTGTATCAAACCCACTTCAGCCATACACTGGAGGGACAGGGAATTAAAAACACAGGAGAAGGGCTGGAAATAAGTACTAGCACATATTTGCCTTGAAGTAGGTAATCCAGAGAGATGAAAAGTGGTAGGATCAGTTTATCTCACTGCAATCCTGCAATCTTCTTTGTCATTTGTGGACAGACACCCTCTCACAGTATGCGACAGCCAGATCCAAAGATTCCGCATCTTCTTTGACAAGGAGAAAGCAGTTACATAAGCAAGCAAGTGGCTTTAGCTATATATCCTCAGAAATACATTTTTCTCTGTGTAACAAAGTTGACTGTATCAGTTTTTTCTCAGAAAGAAACTCAGGTGTGTTGAAAAAGATCCTCATTATATCGGGTTAAGTTCTGTTTCATCCTTTTTTGCCTTTTTCAGAGAAGTTAGTCTCTCTCTCTCTCTTCTTTGTAATTCAGATATGTGGCCCCCCCAGCCAGTTCCTTCTTGTGGCTTTTCTGAATGTTGTTTTCTTGTGGTGAGATTCTGCTCATGGCAGACAGCCCCATAGCAAAAACCTCCCGTTATTACAGAGTGCTCATGGCATCAGGACAAAACCTGCTTGTCTGTATACAGGGATGTGCCCATGGCAGTCCCTCTCCTAGTTAAAGAGGTGGTTCATGGCTTTCAAAAGAGCTTGTGCTGCAATATTTAGGCATGAGTATTGCAGCGTGGCTAATCTTTAATAAAGTGGTTTTTCAGCCTGAGAAGGACTGGCATAGCCAGTGAGACTGATCCTAATTGGATGGGTACAATGTGCTCCAGATAGAGCCTCCTGCTAGTGAAACACAGCATTTAGCATCCAGCTGCTGCCTGTTCAGGCATTGCCAAAGTTAATTCAGAGAATTACAACTTGAATTTTTAAAGTCTTGACCTCTCCCCTTCAGTCCAAAACTCCTTCATGTAGAGTTGCTTCTACCATGGCGCTGAGTATGGCGCCTAATCACCTGACATCAAGACTGAAATGCAGAGATGTACAGACTTCAGTGGTGTGAGCCAAAAATACCAGGCTAGAAACCTGTTTAAGCAGGCTGTACAGTGGTGGTCAGGGGAGTTTCTTAAGTCTGCTTAAGTCTGTCAGAAGAATAGAGGAGTTGGCAAGGAACAGACAGTATGTATGAAACCATTCATGCGAACGGTTTGTTGTGGAGGATCGTGCTCACCATCAACCTTGAGTCCCT